ATCTGATTAATGTGAGGTAGGGAAATAATCATTTGAGTATAAGTATGTGCATATCAATATGTAATTTACAACAGCTGTAAGATGCTTGAAAAGCTTGAAAATGCACCTTGGAAATGCTTGAAAAGTGCTTGAAATTGACCTTGGAAAAGGTGTAAGAACCCTGTAAATGATTTACAAATAAACACCACTGCATATTTACAACTGTTACACATGCTGCTGTAACGAAATGGCATGGGATGGCAAATCCAGTTTTGGACAGTCTGCCGTGGTTCCATCCCATTTCACGGCGCACACTCAAACATCCAATCACAGAGCTTGAGGACTAATCACGGGGTTTGTCAAGTAAAGCGGAGAGAATACTTACTGGCAACGCAATCGCACAACGTCACGTCCGTTAATTCCACAACTACACACATGGATTAACAACCTTATTTAATACATGAATGTAGCCTTTGTTTCTGCTAAAAGAGGTGTCGACCAGCTGGGGCAACAAGAAAATCGGCGAAATCGAGTGTGACGATTAAAAAATAAATCATTATTATATTAATATTGACAATAACAACAGACCGTCGTGGTAGAGCATTTGCTTGGCATTTCCGGGTATATCTCCACTCGTTGGGCCATGTTAACAATACCGTGTAACTGTCACCTTTCAAGGGACGAAATCGTCACGTCTTGCCGTGATACCGGGTTGCCTCTTCCTCCTCTTCCTCTTCTCCTCCATTATATAAGCTACATCAACACATGTATCTGGTTTCTATGTGTTATCAGTGGGCAGATTGGACATGCTGATGAAAGCAGAGTGAAGTCAACACACTGGGATAATAACACGTTTTCATTGATGTTTCATTAAGAAATACCACAAGAAAGAAGAAGAACTGTAGGAATAAAATAACTTCTGTCTTTATTTCTTCTCCTTTTACAGGCGCCACTTCAGGCACCATCATCCTTTCTCCTCCAGGTATTCACTTCTCCTGATTGTTATCAGGGAAACCTGAATGAGTTGTTTTTCTACTTTATTAAACAGGAATACTTTTACATTCAGTTTAGACTTTCAAAATGAAGATTTGGTCTTTAGAAAAACAAGAATTAGGAAATGGAATATAAAAAGTAATTTATTAATCAACTTGTAATTCCCTCTTTAAATAATCCAAGTCCAGTTTACATTCAAAGGCTGGATTTTAATCTGTATATTTCATTGATTTATTGATTTATTGATCAAATAAATTAAGAAATTCACAATTAAAACAAGTAATAGCAGATTATGCATTGAGAGGCCAAACACCTAAAAGGCTCATTGAGGGTCTCTTTAAGTACAAATATATAAACTCCTAACATTTCTCTCTGTTCGTCCACGCAGACCTAAATCCTGTCCTGAGGAGGAAAGAGCAGTTTCTCCTGCATCGAGCTCTGGGTCCATGAAGAGTGCTCGCTCCATGGATTTCCCCATGGATTTCAAAAGGTAAGACTCAGTTTCTGAACCTTTCCAGCTTTCATTTCCTTCAGAGTATATCAGTTTTATTTAACACTAACATATCTGCAGTGCTGATAACAATGTGTGCCTCGTCCATATATCTTTTCAAACGGCATGATTTACCTTAAAGGTAGGTCAGCCATTTTCTATAGATGATGGAGATCAGACACATTTAGACCAGGTTTACACTTCCTCCTCATCCTTCTCCTCTTCCTCCTCCTCCTCTTCCTCCTAGTTTAATTACGTAAAATAAATATGTTTGTTATGGTGAGTTTAAAAATCACAAACAACTAAGAATCATGTAATGTAACTTCTTCTTTAATCTCTCAGCCCCTCCAGAGTACTCCAAAGTGCACCGATGGGTACACACACCCCCATTTGAGAAACACTAGTCCAGCTGACCTCCTTTGTCAAACATGTTTTGCTATGAGAGGACATTTGTAACACCATGTTTTAGTCAGTAAGCTCCTGAACCTTCCACCTGTCTGTCAACGCTCCATCTCTGCAGGGCTGAGGAGGAGAGAGAAGATGCTGCAAAGAGACGTGAGATCAGAGAGATAGAGCAAGAATCTTTCGTTTTCAGTCCATGTATATGAAGGTCAACAGAACCTTTTGATCTGAATTGTCTTGAGAGTAAAACTATATCATTTAACACTACTTTACTTTTCCTGCATTGTTGATTTATATCTATTTGACTAGTCCTTATTTTCTATTTAAATGTGATGTGATTTTTCTTTAGATTATGGAAATATATAATAATAATAATAATAGCTTGCATTTATATAGCGCCTTTCATGGGACCCAAGGTCGCTTTACAGTAATAGGGCAAAAACAAACATAACAAAAGTCAGACAGACAAAACAACAGATCGATTAGGGGCCGAAAGCCTTGGCAAACAGATGGGACTTGAGGGCCCTTTTGAAGGCGTCGAGTGTGGGGATGTTGCGAATCTCCGCAGGGAGAGCGTTCCAGAGGGTGGGGGCTGCCACACTGTAGGCTCTGTCCCCAAAGGTTCGCAGTTTGGTGCGGGGGATGGTAAGCAGGCCAGAGTCTGAGGACCGCAGATTCCGGGGTGGGGCATGTGGGTGAAGGATGTCCGATAGGTACTGGGGGGCAAGGGCATGGAGGGACTTGTAGGTAAGGAGGAGTACTTTGTAGGATATACGGGACTTGACCGGCAACCAGTGTAGGTGGATGAGGGTGGGAGTGATGTGCTGCCACGGCTTTGTGTGTGTGAGTACCCTAGCAGCACAGTTTTGGACATACTGTCCAGGGTTTTTTTGGGAACCCCGAACAGGACACCATTGCAGTAGTCCAAGCGGGAGGTGACAAACGCATGCACGAGGGTTTCGGCAACCGACTCCGAGAGTGACGGTCGGAGTCTGGCAATGTTCCTCAGGTGGAAAAAGGCCGATTTGGTCACAGATTTGACGTGGGAATGGAAGGAAAGGGTGGAGTCAAGGATGACACCCAGGTTGCGGGCTTCAGGAGACGGGGAGATGGAGCAGCAAATAAACAGAATAGAATACAAATAAACATGTAGTGATAGTATGAATCATAAAAAACCAAACATGACATGAGATAAACTCTGAACTTTAACAGGTGAAAGTACATATAGAGTAAAGGTTGAATATATATACTAAGCTACATCAAACACATGTATCTGGTTTCTATGTGTTATCAGTGGGCAGATTGGACATGCTGATGAAAGCAGAGTGAAGTCAACACACTGGGATAATAACACGTTTTCATTGATGTTTAATTAAGAAATACCACAAGAAAGAAGAAGAACTGTAGGAATAAAATAACTTCTGTCTTTATTTCTTATCCTTTTATAGGGAGTACCTCTTGGTCGGTGTTCGTACATCTAACCTCTTCTCCAGGTATTCACTTCTCCTGATTGTTATTAAGGAAACCTGAATGAGTTGTTTTTCTACTTTATTAAACAGGAATACTGGAGTATTGACAATTTATTTTGTAATTGTTACGTTTATTCTGGTTTGTTTTGTGTTTGTATCTTTTATTTCAAATGTATTTATTTTGTGTTTTGTGAGCTGAGCTGTGTGATTTTATATTTGATGTATCTCTCTGTACAGCACTTTGGTCTGGAGGTTTTAAAGTGCTATATAAATAAAGTTGGATTGGATTGGATTGGGCACTTTTACATTCAATTTTGACTTTCAAAAAGAAGATTTGGTCTTTAAAAAAACAAGAATTAGGAAATGGAATATAACAAGTAATTTATTAATCAACTTGTAATTCCCTCTTTAAATAATCCAAGTCCAGTTCACATTCAAAGGCTGGATTTTAATCTGTATATTTTGGTGCTGTTTCATTGATTTGTTGATTTATTGATCAAATAAATAAAGAATGTTCACAAATAAAAACCAGTGATAGCAGAATATGCAATGAGAGGCCAAACACCTAAAAGGCTGATTGAGGGTTTCTTTAAATACAATTATATAAGCTCCTAACATTTCTCCCTGTCAGTGAACGCAGCATTGGCTTCAGTGCTGAGGAGGAAAGAGCAGGTTCTCCTACATCGAGCTGTGGGTCCATGAAGAGTGACGACTCCAAGGATTTCCCTGTTTCTAACGGTAAGAGTCAATGTCTATGTCGGTCAACAGAACCTTTTGAGCTGAACTGTCTTCAGAGTGTAACTATCCTCGTCCTTATTCTTTATTTAAATGTAATGCTCCTTTATCTTTAGATGATCCATATCAGACTCTATTAGTCCAGGTTTTCTTCCTTTCCCTTTGGATTCTCCTGCACCGAGCTGTGTGCTCATGAAGAGCGACGGCTCCATGGATTTCCCTGTAGCTTTAATAACTCTTAATCATCATTTCCATTACACTTTCAAACTGCAAGATTCTATGTATTATCTTAGATGGGATATAACTCTATACGTCTACAAGTTAATGTGGTAACGTGCATTACAACACTTGCATTGTTCATCACTTACTGATTGTATTTGTTCTCCAGAGATCCAGGGATAGATGCAGGACCCTGGACGGACCTGGAGAGACCTGGAGAGACCTGGAGAGACCTGGAGAGACCTGGACTCCATGGTCTCGGTGCGTTCTAGTAGTGTTGTTGCCTCACAGAAGCAGAGCAGTGAACTTCAGTGGTAGCAGCGAAAATGATTGTTACAGGTTACAGTTGTTAGCTAATGTGACTTTTAGTTCATAAGTAAATGAATCTTAATAAATGTGTACACCTGTCTATAAAGGCAGCTAGTTTAAGGGATTTAAAGCTATATTTAAAATTTGTATTCTTTCCATTTCCGTCAGAGCCCTTTCAGACGGGGATCTGAAGCCGTTATCCATGCTCTCTTCAGGGTTCCCACGGGTGCTGGAAATCCTTGAAAATGCTTGAAATTGTACGAGGTGTTTTCAAGGTTTGAAAAGTGCTTGAATTTTGGGAATGGTGCTTGAATTTGGGATAAAGTGCTTGAAATTGTAAATGCTTTACTTCGCTTTTTAGATTAAAAGAAAATAAAGAAGTCGGAGCGCGCTTAATTGCTTTGCTTTTACATAAAACAGCTGCGCTCCGGCCTTCCCGCGCAATGCGCGTGACCAGTAAGTGTTTTTGTCACGTGTGTGACCTGGGCATTCTGATGAGAGTGATAGATGACAGTATGCCAGGAGGTTGCAGTTTCAACGAGCGTTGGCTAGCAGACGAGCCACATGAAAGGTACGCCGTAGTAGAGCATTTTGGATTAGGCTAACGTTGCATGTTACGTTTGTTTAAGCTAACGTTAGCAAGCTGAATAGCGAACTCGATGAGGGATAATAATAATTTCAGAGGAGCGTACCTATGTTAATATGTGCGTTACAGTCGCCATCCTGTGGTGTCACGAAATATAATCTATTGATTCGACACAGAGCGATTGTTGAACGCTGAGTGAATTTCTTTGTGAATTGATGTGGAATTAATTGATGTTTGTTGAAAGTTAGTACCCTGCCACCTATGAGGAAAGGTCCTCTGAGTTCATGCGGGACTAGTTGAAGTATACGAATGTGGAAATGAGAAAATGAACTGATTTGTTGAATGAAAGTTTGAATGTGCTTTTTATTATCACCGGTCTTTTATGAGGAAATGCCTCGAAATTCTATCGGGAGATTTTAAATGTCACAACTGAATTGGGCAGTTGAAGTTACAAACTAGAAAATGCATTTCCTGCAGAAAATGCGTGTGAATGCTGTAAACTGTGAACATTTGTGGCTGAATTTAGCTGAAAATGCAGAAAAAGCTGAATATGTTATTAGCTGAATGGTAGCTGCTTTTAGCTACAAAAATGCAGAAAAAGCTTAATATTTAAAAGAAAAGGTTTAAACAAACATGTATAGCCTTGATGTCCTGAAATAGCTGAATAATGTAATAGTTGAATGGTTTCTGCAGCTGAAAATAGGCTGAAGGAGTTAAATATCAGATGTAAGTAGTAGTGAATACATTTGTATTAAGATGAGAAAAGAAAGTAAAAAGGCTTGGGAAAGCAGCAGAATATTTGAACTGCAAACTTTTGAACTATCTTGAAGGTGAATTATCTGTCGCCATGGCAACGGCATTTGATGACACCCCATAATACGCTTAGATGTGTTGATGGCTGCATCGTTACCAAACCTGTGAAGTTTTGGGCCATTTTGAGCATTTTCACTGAAGTTATGAGAACGCATACGGCAAAACGCATAGGATTAACGCAAACGCAATCGCCAAAAAGCTTCCGTCCACACGCAATATACACCGGATAGTGTGCCCACACAAGACAACTCCGTTTAGATCCAACCGCTGGAAAAGCTGCAGTACATATGCCGAGCCTGTACGTGGCGCTGTAACTTCCTCCACAAAAGCAGCGAAGAAGAATGGTTGTCATGGCTGCACTTCTGTTTATTCACCGCGGTGGGGGCCGACGGAACCGGGCAGAGTTTTTCGCCGGTCAACGTGTGTTAAAGTTTAAATCTTCCAGACAAAATTATAAAAGTGCCGGTCAAAGGTCTTCTTTGTTATTTATTGAGCTTTAAAGGTAGGTACGCATGCGCGGCAACAATCTGAAATGCGTACCGTCACTTGTGTCACAAAGCGCATTTGCGTACCGACGTACTTGTGAAGCTTTTCCAGAAGGCGGTTAGATCACCGGTCTCCGTGTGCTGTGCACAGACAGGGCTGCTGTTAACGTCGGTCTGTACAGCAGCCCTGCGCTAAAACAGCTGATCACAACGTTCACACGCTCCGCGGTCAAGAAGCTCAGTACTCCACTACCACCCCCCCCCCGTTGACAATCGCGAAGCGCTGTAATCCACCCCCCCCCGCCCGTTGACAATCGCCAGAAGTTGGAGTACCAAACACTGACTCCAGGTACTCATCTGAGTACCTCACTGAGAAAGTTGTGTGCACCCCTGTATATAATGATATATAATAATAAAATATACGGAGCCTCTCTTTTTCCTCCCTCTCTTCTGACAGTGTCAGTGTCTGTCTCATGCAGCAGCTGATCCAGTAATGAGTGACCCGACAGTAAAAATAAACATATTTATAACTAGTTTAGTTTGAGAGGTAATTAAAATAGCTAAGGGTGATGATCTGACTTGAAGTGTGTGTTTTGCTCCCGCTGCATCACAGTGGGAGGAGCTGTGTGTCTCCGTCCTGTCAGATTAGACTTCACTCGCGTTTATGTCCATTTCGAGATAAAGATAAATAATCTGAATTCAGTGTGCAGTGTACTTTTGCGGGGGTGAGCAGCAGAGGTGGGGAGAGGCAGGCTATTGCGTCATCATTATCACAAAATGATCGTATAGAGGCGATCACACTGAGCCGTTGGACCCCCCAGAGCGCTCCGTTCCCAGATCTATCCACCTTTGGACCCGTTGTCGTTTGCGGGGTCCGTTTCTATCGTTTCGTTACGGCCTCGTGTGGCAAAAAGGGCTATACGCAAGAGAAATATGCGGATACAACCCGTTTTCGTTCCCGTGGGGCCGGGGCCTGTGTCTCTGTCTGTCTGTGGGCATGTCTGCTCTGATTAGATGCTGCTTGTAGCTACAAAAACCAAGTATGTGTGTTGCTGAACTTAGCGGAGAAATCCTGTGAAAGGAAGTTGAGTATCTGAAGTGTAATTTCGGGTTAATAATGTGGCCTTTTTGGCAGTTTAACTAAAGGTGTGCGGCTGCTGCTGGGAGGAAATATCAGCCTGAAATTACTATGGGGTTTAATGGAGGCATGTTGAACGTTTTTGTCACTTCATGCCCTCAAGAGGCATTTTGTTTAATATTTTTTCTTAATTTGTTTTTATTTTCCAACCTAGGAGAGGTTTTCCTACGTTTCTCATGAAAAATTATGTCTGAGGAGTGTAGGGTTTGGGAATAATGGCAAGTTTAAAACATTTTTTTTGGGTGAATTTCAAGCACTCTTCCACTCTGTTTTGAGATCAAAGCACTCTAGACTTAACGAGCTGCTCCATCCACACTAATGTTAAAATCTGAAGAAAGCCTCTTTACCAAGCTCCAAACTAAGTTAATTATCTCAAGAAGTGTAAAAGATATGAAGAATCTGAATAACAAGTGTTATAGCTGAAGGTGTTGTGATCATTTGTGCTGTGGCACAGCATTCGCACTAATTATGGTAATAAATGTAAAACTGTGAATTAAAGTTTTCATATTAGAACATGATCACAGCATGATATGTTTTATATGATTGTAATGTTGTAACGAGAGAAGGTAAAAACCCTGTATTAGTTTGGACCTATTTTTCTTCAAATAAACTGATCCCACCTTTTGGATTGGGACAACTTAAAAGGCATCTGCGCTCTCCTCTCCTGCTTGAAAGGTAAGATCGCACCCTGCCTCACTCACACTGAGGTAGGGCCACACCTCATTTACTGATATCAAAATCCTTCGGGATCGCTTAAACAGATTTAGGAGGTCGTCTGAATTGAAACAGCAGTGAATTGAACCTGGTTCTTCGGGGAGTTAATAGAGGTGAGATCTTGCTGACGTTGGTGGATCTGAGCCAAGCAGTAAACTTACATAGACTCAATAACTTCGGTTAGGTAAATTAGGAGGTCTGAATAATTTGCCGGAATAAATTATCAGATGACTCCCGACTCTTACAATACTCAATACTGTGGACAATCCCCACAGGAGCAATTTAGGGTGAAGTGTCTCAGGGACACAACGACATGCTGACTGCAGTGGGATTTGAACCCGTGACCCCCTGATCCCAACACCAAGGCTCTATCCACTGCGCCACACGCCTCTGTGTGATTACTATACATTCATAATTTCAGCGGAGGGAGCAAGAGCAGGGTGCGGGTTGAGAGGTGCCTCTTCTTCCCTTTACAAGCTTCAAAAAGGTATTTATCATGAGATTTTGGCAATAACAGTTTCATATTCTGAAAGCCAAGACTTTGTTTATTTAAAATCAAACAAAACACCCGAACCCTGAAAAACTAGTTTTTTTACACAAATCCACGTTTATTTTTTAAATGAGCCGTTGCGACTTTTGACTGATTTCGATAGAGCGGGTCACAAATAATAACAAATTAGAAGGAAAAAAATATATACAGATTTCAGTATTCTGAGGCTCTGAGCCATTTCTTTTCCTCACAGACGGCAAAAAAAAGCCCGACATTATACGATTTAAAATCAAAACAATAATCGTGGCTTGATATTGAGTAAGAACAAACGACTGTATATATAAAGGTAAGAACATGTTTTTATGAACCACACAGCTTCCGGACAAAAAGATGTGGTGCAGGCACGAAACATACTACCAATAGAAATACATTGCTTTTAAAATCGTTCTGTGTGACACGAAAATCGTGTTGGTGAACACGAATCAATAGATTACATTTATTTCGTGACACGAAATGCCGTGAGACTTGGTTGCGTAATTAGACCTTAGCTTGTTAGTATGTTGTTATAAATTATAAACTGAGGATTATAAAATCTTGAAGTATTATACAAGTAAAACTACATTTTGCTTTAATCCCATGTAATTGTAGAATGAACACAGTCTTCCTTTGAAGATGTATAAGTCAGGTGTCTTGAGTAGATGATTTCATGACCTACAAATCATTGTACACATTTGTAAATATTATTTTCCACTTGTTGCCATTGGGAGTCTATTTTTATGCAGGTCTGCCTGATTTTGTGGCTACAATTCAGGCTAATACGCTACCAGAGGTGGAATAAGTACTCAGATATTGTTCTTGAGTAAAAGTAGAAGTACCAGAGTGTAGGCATACTCTGTTACAAGAATAAGTCCCTCGATCAAAATGTTCCTCAAGTAAAAGTAGAAAAGTATTATTATCAAAATATAGTTAAAGTAGCGACAGTAAAAGTAGTCATTATGCAGATTGGTCCATTTCAGAATAATATATATGATATGATGATGCCTTACAGATCTACTTTTAAACTTAGTTTTCTTTTCTTTAATTTTTCATCCTCATGTAGAATGCTATCACGAAACACACGTTTGGTTGTTTATAGCATAAAGAACATCTGATTTAATGTGAGGTAGGGAAATAATCATTTGAGTATAAGTATGTGTATATAAATATGTAATTTACAACAGCTGTAAGATGCTTGAAAAGTTTGAAAATGCACCTTGAAAATGCTTGAAAAGTGCTTGAATTTGACTGTGGAAAAGGTGTAAGAACCCTGAAAGCCACTAGACTCCTCATTTGACCTCGCACAAGTTGCTTGTCCGCTGGTGCCCTGATTGGGTTTGTTTGTTGGTGTTTTTGTGTGATTTCATTGAATCTGAATAACCCTTTAAAACACCAGTCACACAATAACAAGATCTAACTCACCAATCGCAGTAAATCACACCTAAGACAGAAAAAAATATTATTCTTATTACGTTCATTTTATAAAGCTTAGCTACTTTGCTGCGGTCTGCTGGGATTTATTTGAATTGTTGTTTTTCACTTCTGTTCACTCATAATTGTACTTTTTAAGATTTCTCTATATAAACTACCAACAGAAATAAAGAATATTTTAACCAATTACCTTTTATTGTAAGTGGGAAGTCATTGTACAGAATTCACATGTTAACCAAAAACACAAACTTCAGACATTGATAAGAACATCTTGAACTCTCAACAACTTATTCTCAGTGTTTAATATCTCCTTGAAGAGCGAAGATTTGTGAAAGTAGGAAATAAAATGACAGCTCTTAACATCTGTGCTTTAATCCATTCAGCTTCCATGTGACCCTCAGATTATGGCTGATTTCATGAACTGAAAGGAGAAAAAAATATATATTATAAATTAAAATATAACCGTATGTATTCCACACCAGATACAGGATATTGTCATCCATCCAAATGGGATCTAAATATTCCCACATGCATATTTTCCAGCTCACCTGCTTGTATGAGAAGCTGGCCACCTGGCAGTCACACGGTAACCTCAGCTGATGAGCATTGAAACGATCTGAGACGAGAAGCAAGAGTTACTATCACTGAATTATAACCACAACTTTTTACACATCTTCACGTGCAGAATCTGCTGAATATCAGATTCAAGATTCAAAGGTTTTATCGTCATATGCTCATAAACTACAGAGTAGAAATGGCAATGAAACTCTCCTGACCTGAGCTCCTCCAACAATGCAACGTATATAATAAAATACAATAGTGCAAGAAGTCTCTATACATGTAAATAGAATATGATATGTACAAGAACAGAATATGAAATTAAATAATGTTCATTAAGACTAAATTAAATATGGTTTATTGCGGTGATAACTATTTATATAAATAAGTAGATTTTAACACAAGAAGTCTCCTCAAACCCAAAACATCAGTTCATCATCGTTTGATTCAGAAATATAACTCACACTGGACTAGATCTGCCGTCACGTGAATCTTATATTCAACATTGTGGATGCACTATATATCTTGGGTGAAATACAGTAAAGTAAAGACCATGTACTATAGAATTATGTAATTGTACTGTGTTGCTCTCCACCACTGGCAGCACTAAGTGTGGGGCACAGATCATTTGGTTTCTATGAACCTGTATGTTCTTGCCTGTGTGCATGACATAAGCTGCTCATAACCAATAGCCCCTTGCAGGATTAATAAAGTTGTTGATTGATTGATTGATTGATTGATATTACCTCTGAGGATCAGGAGTTTGGTCATGACGGCCACATACTCGTCGTATTCGATCCCGTCTCTGGAGCGGATCCCGTTCCACAGAACTATGAAGGTTTCATCGTCCAAGTCGAATTCTGCAAGGCAACACCAGATTTAAGCAAAATGCAACTCGAGTGCTTCTGCTTTCCTTAAAGGTCTCCTATCATGCACTTTTTTATACATAAATATGTGTCCCCAGGAGACTCACAAAGAAAATAAAACCCTCTCTCTTTTCCTCCGTACCCACATCTCTAAAAACGGGGGAACCACGGAGCTGATCCAGATTTGCGTCCGATATGACGTAATATCTGAAATGTGGGCGGGCTTTACACCCACGGCCCTATCAGAAACGTTGCTGTCAGAAACAATGCGCGACGTGTTTTGGACGTAATATGGTCTGTGTTTAGATTAGCAAGCATTGCTAACGCTCAGAGCTAACCTGTACTGGAGAGAGTATGTGTAAAGAAGCAGGAAATACAAAAAGGAACTCACCTGGTGGTAAACCTGAGAGAGAAAAAGAGTTTGAACTCCATACTGTTTCAGAAATAATCCTTGATCACGGGAGCATTTAGCTGAGTATCTCCGTAGAATTCTGATCAGGCATTAGCTCCCACCCCCTCTTTGTTCAAGCTAAGGACCCAGAATCAGCGTTTCTCTAACAGGGCTGGAATAGAGGGATATGAGGGATGTCTCAAATGCATGATCTGTTTGGTATTTTGAGCAAAACACATCATATATTATATATTTTTATATATCTGAGACCCATAAGATATGCTTAAAAATAGCACGATAGGAGACCTTTAATGTGTCTAGAAGCTTGTAAGCTGATGATTCAATACGTGGTTATAAGAAAAGCAATCAGTGTGAAGACAGAACGAGTCACCGTGGACGGACAAAGCCCTTTTCATTTGGGTTTGAGTGACGGAGGGCGGGTTCCTGCTCTCGTAGCTCTCCACATATTCCCGCCTGACAACAGCCGCATAGTGCTCCATCTTGAAGACCTCGACCACATTCAGGTCTCCAGACCGGTCTGCCTGAAAGCCCTCGGTTAAAGAACTTGAATTAGTCGAAGGAATGCACCTCAATATCCTTATAGCATAGATGGGAATCAACTTCAAGAGCATTATCATCTGGCCGGGGACAACAGCTGGAAATTAGCAATGTTGGCTAAAGCTGCCCCATTTACTGTTTTTTGTCACAGTTGATCAACGGGGAAACGAGACTATAACGTTGTTCTCTGAGCTAAATATTGCATCAGATCAGGTTGGTGCCAGTAGAAATGTTTGGCCGTTGCAAAGGATACGTCCATGAAGGTCAACAGGAGACGGGCTGTCTTGAGAGTCAGGGCTAAATAAGGGGCGATAAATATGTTAGAGTGTAAAAACTTCTCATTCAGATGATTGAATATATTAAGTGGAAAATAAACGGACTATTGCCACGAACGGTGTAGCCCCCGGCGTTCAGCTTAGCGAGAACTCCTTCAGCATCCAGCGTCTGTCGGAAACAAGAGAGATGAACCAAGAACTGACAACACAACATGCAATATATATATAATACAGTAATGCAATGTAAACATTTTGAGGACTTTTTACCCCAAAGGCTAAGAGTTGTGTGAAATTTGAAACAGATGTTTTAATAAAGTGTTGCTGTTGTTAAATGCGGCCCCCATTAACTTCAAATCATCTGACTTTTCTCTGTTTTTTGATTCTTCGATCACTCTGACGTTTTATTTAAGGAAACACAGGTGAGTAACTGATGCACAAATAGTCAATTAGCAGATTTCTGTGGTATTTTATTCTTCCAGTTTGGACTGGACACATGCTATTCCTCTCAAATCAACAGAGTAGGAGTCACTGGTGCAGCAATGAGGACAACATCCCAACATCTTCCCAACACGACTTACTTTTTCCTTCAGCTACCTTTAAACCCTTAAGTTAAGTCCTCTCCTGTAAGAACTATGAACATTTATTTAGGTAAATACTCACATCTGGCCTGCTGTCTTCCTGTGAAACAAAAGGAAAGGATGTCATGTAAAAACAGAACAGCAAAGGGAAGTCCAATGATAATTCATTTACATCATCAAATTAAACCCTATGATATCATTTATTTATAAACATAAACAATATATACATTTAGATGTACGTTTTGTTCAAAGAAAAAAAAAAAAATATATTAATAATTTAGTTTTTGGGAGAAGGGGTGGGATTAAATAAGTGTAAACTTCTTCCCACCCCTTTTCAGATGTGTAACTAGGTAGATCATTTGTTTATATTTAATTTGTAAATCAATAATAATTTATTTATCAATTTGATACTGCTTAGGTTTGTACAGTATCATACGTTTCATTTAATTATTATTATTGTATTATTGTTTTACACGTTCGAAATAAATCAAATCGAATCAAAACCTGTCTAAATATATTTCTGCCCACAACGTGTCCGTTTCTTACCGATACACACATTTGCTCGGGGAAAGCGTTGCACTGCAGGTCGTTTGGCCAGGAAACCCCAAAGCTGGCCATCGTCCCCTCGCAGCCCCGCTTGGCTCTTTCACAGAAGGACCTGCAGGGCCGCTGCACTTCCCCTCCTGAACACTTGGGGGCGTACACCATGCAGACGAACAGGCGGACGTCCACGGGGCACATGGACTGAGCCATGGCGTTGAAGAAGGACATCTTCCCCACCGCCTCCCTCTGACCATGGATGTATAATAAGAACTGGATACAGCGTGGGAGGCGGGGCCTCATTCATTCCTATGAGAGTTGCTCAATCGCGCATGATGACAAAATGGCCCAACTTTTGAGAGAGCGAAACGTCACAGATTACCCGGCATGCCTGAGAAGTACCCGTATGTGCGCTCATAGCGCATGCGCAACTTTAAACATGCCCCCCAAAATGCTCGCTCACATCAAGCACGTCAATTTGCGTACACGTAACAGCACCGCGCGTTCATGACAGCATGGTAATGGGTTGTTATGATGGATTTGATATTAACGACGAGGCGGCAGTTAGCAGCTAGCGGCTAGCTAGTAATTATGCTAATTTACACATCAGTCGTTATGTACTTTTATATTACGCTGATGTAACAGGATCTAGTGATATCCAAGCAACAGAGCTTAATTTAGCATGAAACTTGTGTGGGTTGTAGCCTACATGAAACCACTTGGTAATATATAAAAATATATGTATTTTGAGTTATGATCAATTGTGATTTAAATCTTTATCTAAAAAGTAAAGCTGATGATGGATTACTGTGGTGGAGTTAAAATAACAATAGCCTATTTCTCTTTGAAATGTGATGGAGTGAAAGGATAGTAACTGTGATTATTCATGTTAAGTACCCAACAAGTAACTACAACGTATAATACTTGAAGGAAAGGTGTAAAATGTTTCCATAAATACCAATATCACACAGTACAACACCCCTTGTTGTTAAATACCAACCATGTGTATATATATATATATATATGCCGCTAAAACTGTGTAATATACCTGGCTGCTAAATCCTCCAAACTGTTACAGGATGTGTATTTTGTAAAATGTGTAACTGTTTTTATTATAATTTCTTGTTTTTAATCTTTAATACTTTTTGTATGCATACTTTAAGTAACATTAGGCTGTCTTTGGCTCTTTTCTGCTGTAATAATGTAAATGTATTCTGATTCTGAACTAATTGATATGTTTTTGTCACAGTTTGTTTCCCTATATTGCGACACTTGTTTTGTTTAAGATTATTTCTCCTTTTTTTACAGACATCCCCAACCATAGTGGAATGCTGTTGTAAAGGATTGCATTGATCCGTGCATCAATACCTTCACCCAGCTTTGAGGCCTCCAATGAATGAAATCATCTTGTGGCTGGGAAAAATGTGAAAAAATAAATCTCACAAAGAGTGACTTTCTGGTGTAATCATTATAATATCAAAGACAAGCACTTTTAGTAACAATATATAAAATCATTCAGCAGCAGAGGTTGGGGTGGAAACAGCATTTCTAACTAAGATGATTACAATATTACAAGTTAAACATCAAGATGAACATACTATTATTAATTTAAAAAGTACATGGGAAACTTAAATATCCTGCAATATACCATTAGCAGAATAGGAACAAATGTGCCAAAACATTTCTAACATTAACATAAACTGAGGGCTTTCTTCCTGAGCCGCTGGGAGTAAAGCTCCTCCATGGGTGGCAGCTCCGTCCTGGTGATGTTCTGTGCAGTTTTCACCACCCTCTGTAAAGCCTTACGATTAAGGGCGGTGCAGCTGCCGTACCAGGCCGTGATGCAGCCGTGTCCGTGATGGACACAGAGGAACCTGAAGCTGCTGACTCTCCACCGTAGTCCCATTGATGGCGATGGGGGCGTGTCCCTCTCCCTGCTGCTTCCTGTAGTCCACAATCAGCTCCTTGGTTTTGCTGACGTTGAGATGGAGGTTGTTATCCTGGCACCAAGATGTCAGGTTTTCGACCTCTCTGTACGCCGTCTCTTCGCCGTCTGTGATCTGGCCGATGACGGTCGTGTCGTCAGCACGTAGGCCCGTACCAGTGTCTTGAAGTGGCTGCGCTTCCTCCTGGGCCACATCCAAAATTGAGAAGAAAGAGAACAGACACACCACAGCTGGGTGAGGCTGGTGAGGCTGGGGAAGATGAGTAAAACAACTCAAGAGTAAGAGTGGGTAACTCAAGAGTAAGACTGGGTATGTATACATTCACTCCGCAGCTGCTTATAATCAGCTCATCACAGGCGTTCTCTTTAACCTATTACATTCACCTCATTCTCCAGCAGCCAAACACCGAGCTGCAGCCAAACTTTAAAATGGTTCTCCTCTCTCCTGCAGTCAGCTGTGATTTCAGGTGTTCATGCTGCCGCCCGCCTCCTCCCCATCCACCTCCTCCCCATCCACCTCTTCTCCACCCACCTCCGTTCATCATATCCAGAGCCAGGAGAGCTAATCCAAAGACCTCATCACACCTCCTCTTCATCCCATCTCCTCATCAAATCCAGATCTTCATCATCATCACCAGTGTCTAGACCCCGGGGAGGTTCCCTATGCTCACGGCTGCATTTCCCCCTTTAGATATAAGATTTCAGGATCGGGGTCTAATCGCCAAAGACTTAACATTTATCATATGACATGTGTCAATAAATGTTCTTTAAACAAAATGAAGTCTCTCCTGATTTAACTGTCTGGACCCCATCCTCAACTTTTTTTCAAACCACAACATGCCTTCAGAGGGCTTTCCTGTTGATCATAATTGGTGGATCTTTTAATCTAATAATTGCAATCAATATTATATATATTACCTTTTAATCTATATAAATTGTATTTACATTTGTTGTCACTATTTTTTCCACCTAGTTCTACAATGCCAGCCATAAGAGGTATACATTTCTTATTTTTGTGAATTTCTATATAAAATGCTGATTTTCTACCTGAAAATGCTTATGTATTTTTAATTACATTTTCGTAGAGCTTTGACTTTTTCAGCTGAATAAATATTATAACTAGATGGTTTTGTTCAGCATTGCCAGCTTCACTTTTGAGCTTTATGTTGTGCCCAGCATTCTCCTGTGCTCTGAAATCAAAATGTGGATAAGCATAACACAACACTAAAATAAACACTACAATACAACTTGTTATTTGACACACACAAGGTTGTTCATTTGTGTGTATAAATATAAAACACAGGCTATATACATATATATATATATATATATATATATATATATATATATATATATATATATATATATATATATACATATACAAGTATAATTAATACAACTGTTAATTTGATTAGAGCTTTGACACATATATCTTTATTTATATATGTATAAGTATGACGACTTCCTCGGGCGATATCATGGTATAGCTAATTAATCTGGGTCAAAACGTGTTGTGCCCACATGCAAAGGTTGTAAACTCTGGTTTATCCCTGCGTGGTATTATAGTAATAGCAAACAGCAACGTTCAACTCCTTTAATGGTATATTGCAAGTGCAATAAGAAGCTACAGGGACGTTAATCTACGTCGGTAATATTAACTTTATTTAATACAAGATTTACGGTACAAGATTTAATCATACAGCCCATGTAGTATAATATTTTACAAATGATGAATTACAGCAAACATGTGCAATATATCCGTTATTACAGCTCCGTGGGCTGGCAGTAAGGCGATATGGGTCCGTTCTTATTGTGCATCCATGGGTCAAGATAAACGCATGTAGTGCTGAACACGTAACATGAACGTGCCGGGCGGCGCGGTCCCGTGGGTTAGATGCGCGTTCATAATGCAGAGGGAAATAACTCTCAGAATAACGTTATTAGCACATTTTTACAACTTGAGGAACGAATGTTTTTAATAAGGGCTATACAAGTGTTCATACTGGGTAGTTTATTTAGTTTAAAAAAAATTATCCAACGAGTTACAGACCACTCTTTCCCCATGTAAGTCAATGGGAAAAAGTGTTTCCGGGCCTGGCAACCAAAAGGAAGTGTAGTACCGCCGTTTGGCCAGCACGAATATTTTCATCAGAGTCCGGCGCACTTCCTGGGGGCTTGCCTCTGACTGGTGTGTCCCAGCCATGGATGTATAATAAGAACTGGATACAGCGTGGGAGGCGGGGCCTCATTCATTCCTATGAGAGTTGCTCAATCGCGCATGATGACAAAATGGCCCAACTTTTGAGAGAGCGAAACGTCACAGATTACCCGGCATGCCTGAGAAGTACCCGTATGTGCGCTCATAGCGCATGCGCAACTTTAAACATGCCCCCCAAAATGCTCGTTCACATCAAGCACGTCAATTTGCGTACACGTAACAGCACCGCGCGTTCATGACAGCATGGTAATGGGTTGTTATGATGGATTTGATATTAACGACGAGGCGGCAGTTAGCAGCTAGCGGCTAGCTAGTAATTATGCTAATTTACACATCAGTCGTTATGTACTTTTATATTACGCTGATGTAACAGGATCTAGTGATATCCAAGCAACAGAGCTTAATTTAGCATGATACTTGTGTGGGTTGTAGCCTACATGAAACCACTTGGTAATATATAAAAATATATGTATTTTGAGTTATGATCAATTGTGATTTAAATCTTTATCATTGTTCATTGTATATGTAAGTTATTTATATGTATGTAAGTTTTGTCTCGTGTGTATGTACTGTTTGTGATCGTTGTTGTGTCCTCACTCGTGGCCTGCACCTTGACGTGGTGAGTGGGCTTTAAACTAAGACAGGCCATTTATGTTTGAAATATCATGCTAACAAACCTGCAATTACAGAATTGAATGATAGTGGTTATATATGTTCATGTCTTGCTGACATTATTTGTTATCCTTTTCCGCATAGCCTCTCAGATGGATTCCTGTTTCATCTGTTGGTGTGCCACTGTCCAGTGTCTGCCGGCTGGCTCCCTCTCAGAAAAGTGCCATCTTCTGTCAACAGGAAGAACTGAGCCTCCCAACCAGCATTCTGACCATGAGTCTGACTCACTAAATGAAGCTCAGCGCAAGTTCTTTCAGGAAGACTGGGTATGTATACATTCACTCCGCAGCTGCTTATAATCAGCTCATCACAGGCGTTCTCTTTAACCTATTACATTCACCTCATTCTCCAGCAGCCAATCACCGAGCTGCAGCCAAACTTTAAAATGGTTCTCCTCTCTCCTGCAGTCAGCTGTGATTTCAGGTGTTCATGCTGCCGCCCGCCTCCTCCCCATCCACCTCCTCCCCATCCACCTCTTCTCCACCCACCTCCGTTCATCATATCCAGAGCCAGGAGAGCTAATCCAAAGACCTCATCACACCTCCTCTTCATCCCATCTCCTCATCAAATCCAGATCTTCATCATCATCACCAGTGTCTAGACCCCGGGGAGGTTCCCTATATGCTCACGGCTGCATTTCCCCCTTTAGATATAAGATTTCAGGATCGGGGTCTAATCGCCAAAGACTTAACATTTATCATATGACATGTGTCAATAAATGTTCTTTAAACAAAATGAAGTCTCTCCTGATTTAACTGTCTGGACCCCATCCTCAACTTTTTTTCAAACCACAACATGCCTTCAGAGGGCTTTCCTGTTGATCATAATTGGTGGATCTTTTAATCTAATAATTGCAATCAATATTATATATATTACCTTTTGATCTATATAAATTGTATTTACATTTGTTGTCACTATTTTTTCCACCTAGTTCTACAATGCCAGCCATAAGAGGTATACATTTCTTATTTTTGTGAATTTCTATATAAAATGCTGATTTTCTACCTGAAAATGCTTATGTATTTTTAATTACATTTTCGTAGAGCTTTGACTTTTTCAGCTGAATAAATATTATAACTAGATGGTTTTGTTCAGCATTGCCAGCTTCACTTTTGAGCTTTATGTTGTGCCCAGCATTCTCCTGTGCTCTGAAATCAAAATGTGGATAAGCATAACACAACACTAAAATAAACACTACAATACAACTTGTTATTTGACACACACAAGGTTGTTCATTTGTGTGTATAAATATAAAACACAGGCTATATATATATATATATATATATATATATATATATATATATATACATATACAAGTATAATTAATACAACTGTTAATTTGATTAGAGCTTTGACACATATATCTTTATTTATATATGTATAAGTATGACGACTTCCTCGGGCGATATCATGGTATAGCTAATTAATCTGGGTCAAAACGTGTTGTGCCCACATGCAAAGGTTGTAAACTCTGGTTTATCCCTGCGTGGTATTATAGTAATAGCAAACAGCAACGTTCAACTCCTTTAATGGTATATTGCAAGTGCAATAAGAAGCTACAGGGACGTTAATCTACGTCGGTAATATTAACTTTATTTAATACAAGATTTACATCATACAGCCCATGTAGTATAATATTTTACAAATGATGAATTACAGCAAACATGTGCAATATATCCATTATTACAGCTCCGTGGGCTGGCAGTAAGGCGATATGGGTCCGTTCTTATCCATGGGTAAAGATAAACTCATGTGGTGCTGAACACGTCACATCACATGAACGTGCCGGGCGGCGCGGTCCCGTGGGTTAGATGCGCGTTCATAATACAGAGGGAAATAACTCTCAGAATAACGTTATTAGCAAATTTTTACAACTTGAGGAACGAATGTTTTTAATAAGGGCTATACAAGTGTTCATACTGGGTAGTTTATTTAGTTTAAAAAAAATTATCAGAGTCCGGCGCACTTCCTGGGGGCTTGGTCCCAGCCAAGCCCCCAGGAAGTGCGCCGGACTCAGATGAAAATATTCGTGCTGGCCAAACGGCGGTACTACACTTCCTTTTGGTTGCCAGGCCCGGAAACACTTTTTCCCATTGACTTACATGGGGAAAGAGTGGTCTGTAAATCGTTGGATAATTTTTTTTAAACTAAATAAACTACCCAGTATGAACACTTGTATAGCCCTTATTAAAAACATTCATTCCTCAAGTTGTAAAAATGTGCTAATAACGTTATTCTGAGAGTTATTTCCCTCTGCATTATGAACGCGCATCTAACCCACGGGACCGCGCCGCCCGGCACGTTCATGTTACGTGTTCAGCACTACATGCGTTTATCTTTACCCATGGATGCACAATAAGAACGGACCCATATCGCCTTACTGCCAGCCTACGGAGCTGTAATAATGGATATATTGCACATGTTTGCTGTAATTCATCCTTTGTAAAATATTATACTACATGGGCTTTATGATTAAATCTTGTACCGTAAATGTTGTATTAAATAAAGTTAATATTACCGACGTAGATTAACGTCCCTGTAGCTTCTTATTGCACTAAGAAGCTTATTGCACTGTATATATATACATATATATATATATATATATATATATATATATATATATATATATATATACAGTGCAATAATTCTTTCATGCTAAATGAAGCTCTGTTGCTTGGATATCACTAGATCCTGTTACAGCGTAATATAAAAGTACATAACGATTGATGTGTAAATTAGCATAATTACTAGCTAACCGCTAGCTGCTAACTGCCGCCTCGTTAATATCAAATCTATCATAATAACAAACCATTACCATGCTGTCATGAACGTGCAGTGCTGTTACGTGTACGCAAATTGACGTGCTTGATGTGAACGAGCATTTTGGGGGGCATGGTTAAAGTTGCGCATGCGCTATGAGCGCACATACGGGTACTTTTCAGGCATGCCGGGTAATCTGTGACGTTTCGCTCTCTCAAGAGTTGGGCCATTTTATCATCATGCGCGAATGAGCAACTCTCATAGGAATGAATGAGGCCCCGCCTCCCACGCTGTATCCAGTTCTTATTATACATCCATGGTCCCAGCAGGTTGGGGCTGATGGTCTGGTTGTAGGAGAGGTGCTGGCACATGGGGATGGTGATCGGCTCGCAGACCCCCCCACTGCTGCCCACTCCATACTGCAGCAAGAGAAGAAGAGTGCACCAAGTCAGAGAGGGCAGAAGTACACACATCCTTTACTCAAGTAGAAGTACAGATATTCGTGTTTAAAAATACTCTGGTAAAAGTATAAGTACTGACTAAACTTCTTTACTCAAGTCAAAGTAAAGAACTTTGAAATGTACTTCAGTAAAAAGTACCCATAACTAGCAGCTGTTTTAAAGAGTACCTGACCTCCCTTTATATTAATAGAACAATAATGTCATTGTTAGCTAATGAATGTTTCCATGCTGAACAACGGCAACATGACAACGTTTTCATTGGTCCCTCTTCTTTAGAGAAGACCAGGAAATGATGGATACACGGATCGTGTTCAAATCAATAGGCACGCAATGACTCTAAATAATAATGATCACGCCACCAAACACACATTCAAACTAAAGGAACCCGCCGGTTTGGAAAATGTGAGAAGTAGAAAGTACAGGTATTTGGGTTCAACATGTAAGAAGTAGAAAGTACAGGTATTTGTGTTCAAAATGTAAGAAGTAGAAAGTACAGGTATTTGTGTTCAACATGTAAGAAGTAGAAAGTACAGGTATTTGTGTTCAACATGTAAGAAGTAGAAAGTACAGGTATTTGTGTTCAACATGTAAGAAGTAGAAAGTACAGGTATTTGTGTTCAAAATGTAAGAAGTAGAAAGTACAGGTATTTGGGTTCAACTTGTAAGAAGTAGAAAGTACAGGTGTTTGTGTTCAAAATGTAAGAAGTAGAAAGTACAGGTATTTGTGTTCAACTTGTAAGAAGTAGAAAGTACAGGTATTTGTGTTCAACATGTAAGAAGTAGAAAGTACAGGTATTTGGGTTCAACATGTAAGAAGTAGAAAGTACAGGTATTTGTGTTCAAAATGTAAGAAGTAGAAAGTACAGGTATTTGTGTTCAACATGTAAGAAGTAGAAAGTACAGGTATTTGTGTTCAACATGTAAGAAGTAGAAAGTACAGGTATTTGTGTTCAACATGTAAGAAGTAGAAAGTACAGGTATTTGTGTTCAAAAGGTAAGAAGTCAAAGTAAAAAGTCGTAGAAAAATAAGTAGTGGAGTAAAGTACTGATACCAGAAAAATGTACTTAAGTACAGTAACGAAGTATTTGTACTCCACTACTTCC